GGGCAGCTTTGCAGGAATCTGGGCTCAGTACACCCAGACCCTTTCTGGTTTTTCTAAAGAAGCTAGATATCTAGTGTTTGATGTGGAATTTCCCAAGCCTCCAAATATCAGGTGGGCTAAATGTAACCTGTCTGTAGGCCAAACACAGCCCATGGGCACCAGCTGGACCCTAGGGAGTGGCCGAGAGGACCCAAGCTCGGAGCCCAGACAGAGCACGTGGAGGCATGGTCTTGCCACCATCCAGAACCTGCAGACCTTTCCCATGGGAACCCTGGTCGGGCATTTGGAAAGCCAAATGGGGAGTTCTTATTCATGGTCAGGTTTTATTTGGGGGATTTCCATGGTTGCAATCAGGTTGGCTCTTGGACTCTCTCCAGCCCATCAGGGTCTGGCCAGGGCCAGCGGCCTCTGAGTTCCCCTTCTGCTGTTGAATGTGGAAATGGGCATTTCAAGCACTGGCAACCCGCAGAGGCCTCCCGCAGGCAGAGACCACTCTGCTCACTGATCTCGCTTCCTTTAGTTCCTCAAACAGCCACCCGTCCTTGTGGCATTAGCAGACCGGAGGGTGAGCCCTGTCTAGGCAGCTCTGGGCAGCTGAGGGGTCACCAGTCAGCGACAGGAAGGAGAGCCGATGGGAATCCACCCACCAGACGACCTCCGTCAGCCAGGCCAGTGCCACGCAGCTCGAGAGCCTGGGTAGGAGGGGGCCTGCTAGCTCCTGGCCCAGGCAGTGCTGGGCTGCCTGTGACATCCTGGAATGGCACAGACCTCACCTCTGCCTGCCCTTGACCCGCCCACCCTGCATGGGGCCGTGGGACCAACCCTGACAACGTACTTCTCTCTGCAGGGCAGCCTCTCTGATGCCTGTCTCACCCACCCGCCCTGTCCCAGCTTCTTACTGCTGCCAGCAGGACTCTCATCCTGCTATCCTACTGTCTCTGACTTCGCTGTCTCTCTTCTTACATGAGTGATAAGCCCCTGGAGCCAGGCCTGAGTGCCCTCCGGGTTCCACATCCCCAGGGCTGGGCACAATGCCCATGCATAGGTGTTGGATAACTAACCAGCAGGTGCAGGCCTGGGGCAGCGGGGATGAGGCCTGAGCTCCAGTGAGCTGGGCAGTTTTGATCTGTGCTGCTAAGTGAGGAGCTTGGCTCACTTCCCATCCTGAGCTGGAGACATGGGGTGGGGTCTTCTGGGTGGACCCTGCTCCTCAGGTCTGGGCCATTCAGGGATTGATGTAAGGCCTTGGTGGTTCTCAACCTGTGGTCCCCACACCAGCAGTTTCAGCGTCACCTGGGAACTGGTTAGAACTGCGAGTCTTATCACGTTCCTTCCCCCAGGCCTGTTGAATCAGAAACTCTTCATTCTCCCAGCTGTGTTTGAACAAGCCTTCCAGGGGATTCTGTTGAAGGCCAAGTTTGAGAACTGCGAGTCTAAGAGCTTGAACTTGGCACTTGGGATTCCCCAAAACAATCCCCTCTGTAGGAACAGCCATGTGGGGAGAGGCACCGGGAAGCCCCAAACCTGTTTGTGCGATGGGACAGTCCACACGGAAGAGGGGAGGACCGTGCAGCCCAGAGGAGTGCTCCCAGCAGCCCCCAGTGGGAGGAGGCTGACATCCCACAGGCAGGGATATTCATGTTCCCATCCCTAGAGGAGGTGTGAAGGTCTGACTTGATCTTCTTGGAGCCCAAAAGCACTTTTCAAGAAACTTCTGCAGCTTGAACAGCCAAAGTGTGCCAGCCTGAGGGACTGTGTGTCTTTGGGAGGTGACCACTGCCACAGAGACAGGCCACCAGCTTGGGAGTCAGGGAACTCTCAGGCCAAAATGTATGACTGGTTCCTGGGGCCCCACGTCTCTGGGTGACCCACCCGCCACCCAGCGTCCGGGCCTCTGCAGTTCCCCCGATTGCTGACCTGGGGCTCCCTGGGCCTGGGAGACTCACAGTTCTGGGCACTTGCGGCAGGGCAGCCCCAGACTCGCCTCTCCTGGGGCACTGCAGGCCCTGAGGGCTGGGCACACAGGAGGAGCTGTGCCTCTTTTTATTTATTGTAATACAAGAGCTTTTTGATGGAGGAGCAACCATTTTCCAAACAGAAACTGAGACTTTTTAAGGTCTCTGCTCCAAGATGGCACTGCCGGAAGTGAAAGACACTAGCGTGGCTCCAAGGCCCAGGCAGAGACGTGTGACAAATACAGCGATACTGCGGCCACCATTAAGCTTTGGAGGTCTTGGCTATGGTGACTCAACAGGCCTCAGGGACACAGAGGGCTGTCTGTCACCCTCGATCCCTAATGATCCCCAAGCTAAGCACAGGGGGCTCGGCACTGGGTGCGCCCTCCCAGAGCCACACAGGGCCCTGCAAGTAACCCCCCAACACCGCCCCGTTGTCATGGACGGCCGTCAGCAGTCAGTCTGCCGCAGTTTGGGCCCCTTCTCCTCCACTGTCTCCTCTGGGGTCCACAGAACAGAGAGGACATGTGTCCCAGGGAAAGCGTTTCCCTGTGAACTTTCCCTCAGCCTCTAAAGGGCTAGATGCCAGGGATTCCTGGCTCGGGAGGCCAAAGCACCAGTATCCTTCATTGTAAACCTGGCCTTTGAGATAATTTTGCTTGTTTTACAATGAAAAGTGTGAGCGACTGGGAGCAAGCCATGCCTTTTGAAGATAGCAAAGCATTTTAACCAGGCTGGTTTGGCGACTGGAGAGAATAATGGACATGTAGAGATGCGTTGGGGTGGGGGGTGGTAAATATATCACTGTTGCCTAATTGTGTGAGCAAGAGGCAGTAGGACCCTGGTGTGTGATGTGTGGCCCCTCCCGAGGCCAACCTCCCACCCTGCCCTGCACTCAGTTCTCAGCGGGCTCAAGGCTCCCCCTGGTGGCCCAAACACACACTACACCTGGACCTCAGTCCTGGACCTCAGCCCCAGGCACAGTGTAAGGAGCGGAGCTTCCCTCTGCCGGGGTCTGTCTCTCCTCGGGGCCGGAAAGTCAGGATCCCCTCCCCTAGTGTAATGACCACCCTTCTTGTAAGGCCTGAAGGCAGGAGTGACGGGGCTGACAGACCACTGGCCCACGGGTGAGTGCTGGGGTGTGTTCCCTGGAAGTTGCAGCGTGCTTTCCAGCTGCCGTTCCAGGCAGGAGGGGCACTTGTGTCTCTTCTCATACTCAGTGGTGGGTGGGAGGAGAACGAGACTGCTCCACAGGGCCCCGCCACGAGGACTTTCTGCTAGGCTGTTCTGTCCTCGGGAGCCTGGGACACTGCCAGAAGCCCCTCCCCCAGCCCTTCATTCTCTCTCTCTTTTAGGACACCTTCTGAAAGTGCTATTAGCTTCTTTCACAGGAGGGATATTAGCAGAGGAACCCAGAGCCCAGGGATCCCCAAATGCAAGTGTGTGATTTCTGAGCTTGGCCAACGTCATCGTAGTTTGCACTGTTTCTCTGTGAGGCTGGCCCAGTAAGCCTGGCCCTTCCAGTCACCAGCCGGGTGCCAGCTCAGTAGGTCAGCCCTCCTCACCACCTCCTAAGGATATTCTGGCCAAAGCCTGCCCCACACGTATTTGCTGGAGAAGGTCAGGACCCCACAGGTTTGAGCTGACCAGAAAGGTACAGCAGTTTGTGACAGCTGGCAAATTTGTGTACAGTGCTTTTAACTCCATCTCCAAGTTCATCTGTCCAGTTTCCCCAACCACTGTAGAGTACGAAAAACAAGCGTTGGTGTCCCCATTTTACAGATCAGGAAGCTGAGTACATTGCTTGTCTGAAACCTTGTCTTTTCAATGTACAGTTTACATTCTGCCTCCTCACAAAGCACACATAAAAGAGGACAAGTAAACACTGCAAAAGTCCAAAGCAGTTTTTAGAATATTTTAAATAGAAAGAAAAGAGAGAGAGAGAGAGAGAGAGGGAGGGAGGGAGGAAGGAAGGAAGGAAAGGGAAGGAAGGAAGGAAAGGGAAGAAGGAAAGGAGAAAAGGAGAGAAACACAGAAAGAGAGAAAGACTTGGCCCAGGAGAACAGAGTGACAGGTCTCAGGTCTGACTCAATTCTCTGATGTCTCACCTGCCTCACCTGCCTCTCTGAGGAAGGAAACCCACCCCCTCCCTACTCCACAACTCCCTGCTTGCCAGATGCCTCTGGGAACCGGGGTTTGTCAGGATGTGGGGATCCAGGGCTCTGGAGGACCCATGAACATATGGAGTGAGGCCCTAGCACCCAAACTTGCCCAAGAGCAGGGCCCCTGGACCACAGCCTGCACTTTGCCCCATGGCTGAGAGGGTGGAGGCAGGTGCGGAGGGGGATGGGTGAGGACGGGTCCGCTGTGTGGTACCTTGCAGGCTGAGCTGGTGCAGGGTCTGTCTCGGCCTCCAGCATGGGGAACTCTCCCAATGATGCAACAGAACTTGTGAGCCGGAGCCACGGAGGTGCCCAAGGTTGCCCCAGTGACAGGCCCCCCAAAAGATGGCAGAGGAATTTTGCTGAGACCCCAGGTTTTCTCAGGGGCTCATGGGAGTGAGGCCAAGAGGTTGACTTGGGGGCGCCCAGGGCTTTGCTCTGATCCTGGGGGCTGAGACCTTCGATTCGCCTCTCCCCATGCCTACCTCGTTTCCCCGCCTGTGACACAACCACGCAGACAATCACTACTCTATGTCTGGGCTCCCAACAAGCGCCCCACGATGTGTGTGGGTTTTAGCCCATTTACTCGTCGGCACAGCCTAGGAGGCAGGTCCCATTCATTATCCCCGTTTTACCCATGAGAAAACCTAGGAACAGAGACATTAAATTACTCGCCCAAGGTGGTCAGCTGGTCAGGGACAGCGCAGATGGGATGAGTAGCTAATTAACACCACATCATATGAGATAACGACATCACTCAGAGTAGGGGTCTCCCTACGAATTGCCAAATAACAGCCCTTGCAGAGAGGCAGTTCTCTCCCAGAGCCCCGCCAGGAGCAGTGCCCACCTCGACGGGAGGGTGGGGAGCTGACACAGGCCTGGGTGCGATTTACAGAAGCCTTTACTGGGGAGGGGTCACAGTTCATGGATCACCGGGAGGTGCAAGTAGAGAGTTCTGAGGACGCTGCTGGGACGAGGGCTGCTGGGGGAGGCTGCATCCTGGCCACATTGCCCGGATGCCTGGGAACACTGACGCCAGTTCCTCGATGGTCTCCCCAGAGAGTGCCCTGGTGCCCTGGCATCACAGAGCCTTCCGCGGGGGGCCCCCTGGGCCTTGCCACTGTCCATCTGTCTGCATGAAGCCCAGGGGTCAGCCGAGGGTCCCGTTCTCCTTGGCAGGTCCCTCCTACTTGGCCGCTTTTCCTGAGACTCCCCAAAGAGCCAGTCCAGGGGGTCAGCAGGGCTAGCCCCGGGCAGTGCGGGCTGCTGGCCGCTGAAACGGGTGGTGATGTCCCGTAGGGACCCAGTGGGGCGGCTCTTGTCACAGGAACGGGCTGGCCGGTGGGGTCTGCTGGGTCGGACCCTGGCTGCGGCCTCATCCAGCACCGAGGTGGGCTGGGCTAGCTGACAGATGGACCTCACGTAGTCGTCCAGGCTGGGGGAGGCAGGGGGCTCCTCTCCAGGCCCCCCGGGCAGCATCTCTTCCGAGGTCTCCCGAATCGTGGGCAGGTGGGCCACAGAAAGCAAAAGCCGGGACCTCATGGCTGCAGGCAACGGGGAAGCAGCAACCTGTTGATTGACAGGGAACCAGGGGTGAGGGACAGCTGTACCATCCTGACTCCCCTCCTGTGTCCCCTCCCCTATCTGAGCTGTCTGGGGGAAACATATGCCTGAGAGCGGTTTAAAGTCTACAGATCCAAGACCAGTCTCGAACTCCTGGGCTCTTCCTTCCTGCCAACATTACTTAAGGCTCAATCATTACTGTTCAAGTTTAAGACCCTGTTCAAATAAGAGAACCCAGCCTAAGGGACAGGAGTCAGAGGAAATCTGCCTTTAAAACCAAGCTCTGCACTTCCTGACCTGGGGTCCTTTGGCAAAGTTCCGTCTCCAAGCCTCTGCTTACTCGTCCATAAAATGAGGTTATAAATCCCCACCTCTCGGGGGTGCTCGTAGAAACATATGGAATGATACCTCATGTGAAAACCCTTTATAAATATAAAGCCCTCTGTAGCTTTTAGCTGTATTCTGGTCTCTAACCTGCAGTGAGGCTGTGCACATCCAACGTTGAGAACTGCCCTCAAAGTTCTCTTACCTGTAGCGGAGGAGGTCTGGGGGTAGCCGGGAAGCTGGATGAGCAAGGAAGTCCCAGGAAACTCAGAGGAGAGGGATAGGGTCCGGGAGCTGGAGCGCTGGGTCTGACGTCGGATTTCTGGGAGGAGGGCGAGGATGTAACCTCTGTCAGATGTGCTGGGGCCCAGGGCGGACTCCTCCCTGAGCTGTCTGACGAATCCCGGGACCTGGCAGTTGCTTTTATACATTTCCACCCACAATCAGTTACTGTCACGAGGGCCAAAAATAGCAGTGCTCAGGAAGGCTCTCAGAAGAAAACAGCTTGGTGGGCGGGGCCTGGTCCAGCTGCCAGCTTGGAGCAAGTGTTTGTGCCTGTGGGAGGTTCTGGGAATGTTTACTCTGCAGAGTGGGGGTGGGGTGGCCACAACTCCTGCCACCTCAGGCCACTGGGAGAGGCGGGAGCTCCACCGGGCTCCCCCAAGCAGCCTCGGGGTCTGCCACCGTCACCTAGAAGGGTTCCCCACTACATCTTACACCAGCAGCCTGCAACCCCAGGACACCCGGGCCGGGTGTGAGCT